TGGACATATTTTCGCGAGAAATATAAAAGCTTTAAGCAAGTTGGATTTAAAAAATGCTTTGCTCTGCAAAGCAGGCCTTTGTTCCTTGAGATTCTATTTTCGAGATATGGTATTTGATCTCTCTACGTCACAATTACATCAAGAAGGCTCGCCGAGAAATTTTAAAGCGGTTTCTCTTTTTATGTCCTGATTGGCAATACAAAAATTTGGAAGTTTTTAAGGAATATTATCTTGGTCATGAAAATGATGGAAAAAAGTATATTCTGTTTTGGTTACATTTAGAGATAAGTTGTTTGCATTAAACCATTCAGTAAGAATTAACTGCTCTTTATTTACTGACTTAAAAAGAGTATTTATGTCATTATGTGCATAAAATAGATTTGTGTCATCTGCAAATAAAACTGTATCTAGTTCAGAACAAGCTTTGCTTAAATCATTAATAAAAATAAGAAATAGGAGTGTTCCTAATATAGATCCCCGAGGAACTCCACATGTTATCCTCATATTGGTCGTTTAACCTTCATTATAAGAAATGTATTGTTTTCTATTTGACAAATAGCTTTTAAACGACGCAATATTTATATGTTTAATAAAATAGTTTTCTAATTTTGTTAATAAAATGTAATGATTGACAGTGTCAGTTTGTTGCCTACAACTGGATAGCAACTCTTTTGGCACCACAATATTTCTAAACTTCTAGAAATCTTTACATAATTGATTATGCAAATAAAATAACATTGTGTTCGTTAAGAAATTTGTACTTTTTACCTGGTTTACCCTAGTTCTTTATTGCACTGTAGGACAATGATTTTTTTATTTTAATTTACACAGCTTGTATCAAATGTCTTAAAAAAAAAGGTAAAATATAAACTCCGTCTTTCCAAACTGATTCCGGCCAGAACCGAAATAAACTCAAATTCCGGCCAGAACCGGAATAAACTAAAAGTCAGATTGTACTGGAATTCCGGATGCACCGGAAAAAAACATAGTTTTGGCGCTGGATTTCAGTTTCCTCTTGAGGTGGAATAGCAGAATAAAAAATAATTACCAAAAACTAGGAGAAAAGATTAAAAGTTACTACTTTAATGCACAGAAATCACGTGATTTCTGTGCATCACAATAGTGATTTCTGTTTGTTGAATGATATTAAGAGTTTAACAGGGTGTTTTTTTTAGTTTATTCAAAAGTCATTTGAAAAAAGATTTTGTAATCTGATATGTAATCAATTATAATTACTTTTTATAAAAATTTTTATTACCTTGCTTGGTTGGTTTTTATATACAATTCAAATCAAATTACTCTTGTGGTGATCGCCATAGCAGAACACGAAGCAGTAACATATTCTTGCATATCTACCTCAACATTCATTTTGTCTGAGAATATATAATTTCACCACTTGTTGTCGTGTTTCATCAAGCAATTTAAAAAATGTTTATCTCATTGTGTTGCCCACCAGATTATCCAGATCCATAATGTCATCTGTTTCAGTATAAGGTTTTCAAATATGTGCAACAACTGAACATCCAATATTTAACTTATTGGTTATTTGATGAGGAGATAGTACTTGGTTTTAAATTAAAATAGATTTGTAACATGTAATTTCAGAGAATCTCAACCATGATTTCGGAGTTTCATGCTGTATTACTTCACTCGTTATAAGGCTTTTTTAATATCTAATTTATTTGTGTTTTCATCACTACTATTTCAAAATTAGAAATTTAGAGTTAATAAATGCTAATGAAAATCAAATCAAATTATAAAAAAAAAAATCAATAATATATTATATTAATTTTAAAAATAAAGCAGTAAGCATTAATTTTTGACGAACAAAAAAAATTTTAAAAAATATAGTCGATGTTATAAAGTTAAATATAATTAGGGATACAAATGAAATTTTATAGTAACAACTTGTTTATTAAATAAAAAACTCGATACTTATTAATTCGAAATAATAAAATATTTAAAAAGCTTACTAGTTTTTAAAGTAATTATAAGCAAACAGGATATATAAGTAAGTATGCTCTAATTAATTGCCAATGGTGTATGTATTATATATATACATATATATATATATATATATATATATATATATATATATATATATATATATATATACATACAAAAACACTAAGTTTAAACTTTTTTTCAATAAAAAATAATTTAAAGGGGTCCCTCAAGACCCTCGAATATTTAATGGGTCCCTAATATTTTCAAAAAAAAAGTTTTTAAAAATTATGTCAACCTGGTACTCAAATGAACCAAAATTGTATAAAAATTTTAAAAATAATGTTCATTTCGGAAAAAACGATACGTACTTAAACGACGTGTCACATGATAGAGCCGAAAATATTTATCCTCGAAAATATCACCGAAATATTTCACAACCGAATACTTTGGAACTGAAAAGTGTACTTTCATTGCAGGATCGAATAACAAAATCCTTTCTTTTTTTAATCTATTTTTTTTTTAATCAGTTAGTCGTTTTACAATAAAATAAACAATTAAAATTTCTTTAAAATATATATACATATATCTTATACTGCTGAGTTAGGTGAGCATGATGATGTCATACTCACCTAACGTCAAATAGCCTGCTGCTGGGGGCTTCAGTACATACATCGACTGACAAATAGCCTGACTTGCAGTGGAGTGCTGCTACATCGACTGAGGGTTTGGTATGGGTCAGCAACCTTTTCATTCATTATTCTTTGTTTTCCCTCATCGTTTTCTAAAAACGCTCACTTAATTGTAATTAATTAAGTGTAACTTTCGGTTGTAAACCATTTTAATGAAATTCGGTTCTAAAATCAGTAATGACTTTCGATCGAAAATTCGATTGAAATTTTTTGTGTTCTAATTTTTTTCGTAAATTATTTCGGTTGTGTAATAAATTTCTCATATTCGGTTCTAAATTGAAATTAGAGATTCGGTTGAATCATTGGACGCCCTTAAACGATACTTTTTTTTTTTAACGAAATCGGCACAAAATTGTTTTTTGTTTTGGCAAATATTGTATATTTTAAGGGAAATATCGTTACGTATCATTTTTTCCGAAATGAACATTATTTTTGAATTTTTTATATAATTTCGGTTCATTTGAGTACCAGGTTGACATAATTTTTAAAAACTTTTTTTTTGAAAATATTAGGGATCCATTAAATATTCGAGGGTCTTGAGGGACCCTTTAAATTATGTTTTATTGAAAAAAAAATTAAACTTAGTGTTTTTGTATTAGATAGAACACATTTAGGGGGTGAGAGCAGATTATTTTTAAAAAAGTTGTTTTTTGGGACACCCTAATATATATATATATATATATATATATATATATATATATATATATATATATATATATATATATATATATATATATATATATATATAAAGATATCATAGTATACTATTTCATAGTATACTATGCTTGGACATATTATTATTTTTATTATTTTATTACTTTTTAGAGTTTGGTTTGTATGCATTAAATGTGTTTGTATACA